GGATGGGATGAAGGGAAGGAGGGATGGGATGCAGGGAAGGGATGGGATGCAGGGAAGGTGGGATGGGATGCAGGGAAGGAGGGATGGGATTTGGGAAGGAGGGATGGGATGCAGGGAAGGGATGGGATTTGGGAAGGGATGGGATTTGGGAAGGAGGGATGGGATTTGGGAAGGGATGGGATGCAGGGAAGGGATGGGATGCAGGGAAGGGATGGGATGCAGGGAAGGAGGGATGGGATGCAGGGAAGGAGGGATGGGATTTGGGAAGGAGGGATGGGATTTGGGAAGGAGGGATGGGATTTGGGAAGGGATGGGATTTGGGAAGGAGGGATGGGATTTGGGAAGGTGGAATGGGATGCAGAGAAGGGATGGGATTTGGGAAGGAGGGATGGGATGCAGGGAAGGAGGGATGGGATGCAGGGAAGGAGGGATGGGATGCAGGGAAGGGATGGGATGCAGGGAAGGGATGGGATGCAGGGAAGGAGGGATGGGATGCAGGGAAGGAGGGATGGGATGCAGGGAAGGAGGGATGGGATGCCGGGAATAAGGGATGGGATGCAGGGAATTTGGAATGGGATGCCTCGAATTCCAGCGGCTCCCTTTGGTTTTCCTCCCCGGCTCCCGTTCCCGAGGAGAATCCCGAGCGTGGGAGGGGAATCCATGGAAACCACTCGGGAACTGCGGCAGCCCCGCCGAGCCTCGGGAAAGGTAGGGGAAAGGGTGGGGAAAGGGTGGGAAAAGAGCGGGAAAAGAGCAAGGAGAGGGAAGGAAAAGAGAAGGGAAAGGGACGGAAAAAGGGAAGGAAGAGGGAAGGAAAAGAGTAGGAAAAGGGCAAGAAAAAGGTAGGAAAAGAGCTGAAAAAAGGGCAGGAAAGGGGCAGGAAAAGGGCAGGAAAAGGGTAGGGAAAGAGAAGAAAAAGGGATGAAAAAGGGAAGGAAGAGGGAAGGAAAAGAGCAGGAAAAGGGTAAGAAAAAGGCAAGAAAAGAGCTGAAAAAAGGGCAGGAAAAGAGTAGGGAAAGGGCAGGAAAAGGGCAGGGAAAGGGCAGGAAGAGGGAAGGAAAAGAGAAGGAAAAGGGATGGAAAAAAGGGAAGGAAGAGGGCAGGAAAAGGGCAGGAAAAGAGCAGGGAAAGGGCAGGGAAAGGGCAGGAAAAGGGCAGGAAAAGAGCTGGAAAAGGGCAGGAAAAGAGCTGGAAAAAGGGCAGGAAAGGGCAGGGAAAGGACAGGAAGAGGGGAGGAAGAGAGAAAGAAAAGAGAAGGAAAAGGGATGGAAAAAAGGGAAGGAAGAGGGAAGAGCAGAAGAAGAGCTGGAAAAGAGCAGGAAAAGAGCAGGAAAACAACAGGAAAAGCCACCCCACCCTCTCTTTCCCCATCTCAAATCCCAAGGAATCCCCTGGATTTGGGAAAAGGCCCTTTTGGACTCTGGGATTCAGATCCAGAAAAACCCAGCTCGGGATCCCGAGGGGGGGAATGGGATCCCCCCCCTCCCCCATCCCACCCGGGAGCCTCCCAACAATTCCTGGAGCTGGGAATTCCGGGAAGAGCCCCTGGGGGGGGGATAAAATCCTGGGATAAAATCCTGGGATAACAGACCAGGATAAGAACAGGGGGAATAAAATCTTGGGATAAAATCCTGGGATAAAATCCTGGGATAACAGACCAGGATAAGAACAGGGGGAATAAAATCTTGGGATAAAATCCTGGGATAAAATCCTGGGATAACGGGGCAGGATCAGAACTGGGGGGATAAAATCCTGGGATAAAATCCTGGGATAACAGGGCAGGATCAGAACAGGGGGGATAAAATCCTGGGATAAAATCCTGGGATAAAATCCTGGGATAACGGGCCAGGATCAGAAGGCAGGGATAAAATCCTGGGATAAAATCCTGGGATAAAATCCTGGGATAAAATCCTGGGATAATGGGGCAGGATCAGAAGGGAGGGATAAAATCCTGGGATAAAATGCTGGGATAAAATCCTGGGATAACGGGGCAGGATCAGAAGGGAGGGATAAAATCCTGGGATAAAATCCTGGGATAACGGGGCAGGATCAGAATAGGGGGAGAGATAAAATCCTGGGATAAAATCCTGGGATAAGGGGGTAGGATCAAAACAGGGGGAGAGATAAAATCCTGGGATAAAATCCTGGGATAAGGGGGTAGGATCAAAACAGGGGGGATAAAATCCTGGGATAAAATCCTGGGATAAGGTAGGATCAAACAGGGGGATAAAATCCTGGGATAAAATCCTGGGATAACGTGGAAGGATCAGAATAGGGGGGATAAAATCCTGGGATAAAATCCTGGGATAATGGGGTAGGATCAGAAGGGAGAGATAAAATCCTGGGATAAGGGGGTAGGATCAAAACAGGGGGGATAAAATCCTGGGATAACGGGGCAGGATCAGAACTGGGGGGGATAAAATCCTGGGATAAAATCCTGGGATAACATGACAGGATCAGAAGGGATGGGGGGATAAAATCCTGGGATAAAATCCTGGGATAAAATCCTGGGATAACGGGGCAGGAAAACCCCTTGGGAGGGTTTTGCTCAATATTGGGATTTTTTTAATGCTTTATTTTCTCAATATTGGTCTTTTTTTTTCTTCATTATTTTTTTTAATGTTTTTTTCTCAATATTGGGATTTTTTTAATGCTTTATTTTCTCAATATTGGTCTTTTTTTCTTCAATTTTTTTTAATGTTTTATTTTCTCAATATTGGGGTTTTTTTTTTCCTCAATATTTTTTTCTTCCTTAATATTGGGGTTTTTTTCTACTTTTCCCCCCTCAATATTGGGGTTTTTTTAGGCTTTATTTTCTCAATATTGAGGGTTTTTTTAATGTTTTATTTTCTCAATATTGGGGTTTTTTTAACACTTTATTTTCTCAATATTGTTTTTTAACACTTAAACTTTTCAATATTTTTTTTTAAATGCTTTCTCTTCTCAATATTGGGATTTTTAAAGTGCTTTATTTTTCTCAATTTTGGTTTTTTTTAATGCTTTATTTTCTTAATATTGAGGGGTTTTTATGTTTTATTTTCTCAACTTTTTAATGCTTTATTTTCTCAATATTGGGAGTGGTTTTTATTCTTTATTTCCTCAATATTGGGGTTTTTTTATGCTTTATTTCCTCAATATTGAGGGTTTTTTTAATGCTTTATTTTGCTCCATATTGGGCTTTTCCAATGTTTTATTGTCTCAATTTTTTAATGCTTTATTTTCTCAATATTGGGGGTTTTTTTAATACTTTATTTTCTCAATATTGGCTTTTTTTTAGGCTTCATTTTCTCAATATTGGGGTGTTTTTTAACACTTTATTTTCTCAATATTGAGGGTTTTTTTAATGCTTTTTTTTCTCCATATTGGGATTTTTCAATATTTTATTTTCTCGATTTTTTAATGCTTTATTTTCTCAATATTAGGGTGTATTTTTTATGCTTTATTTTCTCAATATTCAGGGTTTTTTAATGTTTTATTTTCTCCATACTGGGCTTTTTTAATCTTTTATTTTTTCAATTTTTTACTGCTTTATTTTCCCAATATTGGGGTTTTTTTAGGCCTTATTTTCCCAATATTGGGGTTTTTTTAGGCCTTATTTTCTCAATATTGGTGTTTTTTTCCTCAATATTGTGGGGTTTTTCTGCCTTTTTTCCCCCCTCAATATTGGTTTTTTTTTTTAAAATATTTTATTTTCTCAAAATTGAGGGTTTTTAAAAAACACTTTATTTTCTCAATAATGGAAGGGTTTTTTATGCTTTATTTTCTCAATATTGAAGGTTTTTTTAGGCTTTATTTTCTCAATATTCAGGGTTATTTTAATGTTTTATTTTCTCCATACTGGGCTTTTTTAATGTTTTATTTTCTCAATTTTTTACTGCTTTATTTTCCCAATATTGGGGTTTTTTTAGGCCCTATTTTCCCAATATTGGGGTTTTTTTAGGCCTTATTTTCTCAATATTGGAAAGTTTTTTCAATGTTTTATTTTCTCCATATTGAGGGTTTTTTTAATTCTTTACTTTCTCAATATTGGGGTTTTTTTTAATGCTTTATTTTCCCAGTATTGAGGGGTTTTTAATGATTTTTTTTATGTTTATTTTCTCAATATTGGTGTTTTTTTCCTCAATATTGGGGTGTTTTTAGTGCTTCATTTTCTCCCTACTATTGTTTTGCTTTTTTCTCAATTTAATACTTTATTTTCTCAATATTGAGGATTTTTAAAAAACACTTTATTTTCTCAATATTGGAAGGTTTTTTTAACGTTTTAATTCCTCAATATTGAGGGTTTTTTAAGGTTTTACTTTCCCAATATTGGGGTTTTTTTTATGCTTTATTTCCTCAATATTGGGTGTTTTTTTAATGCTTTATTTCCTCAATATTGGGGTGTTTTTTTAATACTTTTTTTTCTCAATATTGAGGATTTTTTTAATGCTTTATTTTCTCTTTTTTTTTTTAATACTTTATTTTCTCAATATCAGGGTGTGTTTTAGCACTTTATGTTCTCAATATTGAGGGTTTTTTTAAGGCTTTATTTTCTCAATTTTGAGATTTTTTAAGGTTTTATTTTCTCAATTTTTTAATGCTTTATTTTCTCAATATTGGGGTTTTTTTAATACTTTCTTTTCTCAAAATTGGAGGGTTTTTTACCACTTTATTTTCTCCAAACTATCCTTTTTTACCCTTTATTTTCCTGCTATTCCCATTTTTTTTCCCCCACTTTGCCCTCCTGGATCCCCTCAAAGATCCCCAGTGGAATTTCCCCCCTCCCAGCAAATTCTTCAGGGGGAAAAAAACCTGGAAAAACAGGAAAACTCCCCTTTTTTTCCCCCTTTTTCCCAAATTTTTCCCCAAACCCCGGGCTTGGAAAGCTCGGAAAGCTCCGGGATCTTCCAGGGAACTCCCAAATCCGTTTGATTTCCCCCCCTGGAATGGAATTCCATGGATTCCTTGTGCTTGGAGCCTCCCCAGGTGTGAGCCAGGGAAGGGAAAGGCGGGATTAGGGATTTGGGAATCAGTTTATTAAATGTTTATTAACAATTATATTAAAAAAATTGAGGCACAAAGAACACAAAGATTCCTCTTTTTTTTTTTTTTGGCTTCAGCTCTCGGAGGAAAAGCTGGAAAGCACCTGGAGGAGCCCAGCTGGGCTGGCAGGAGGGGGGAGAGACCCCTGGACTGGGATATTCCCATGGGAAAGGCCTATGGATTGGGATATTCCAATGGGAAAGGCCCCTGGACTGGGATATTCCCAAGGGAGAGACTCCCGACTGGGATATTCCAATGGGGAAGGCCTATGGATTGGGATATTCCCAAGGGAGAGACTCCTGGACTGGGATATTCCCATGGGAGTGAGCTCATGACTGGGATATTCCCACAGGAGAGGCCGCTGGACTGGGATATTCCAAAGGGAAAGGCCCCTGGATTGGGATATTCCCATTGGAGTGACCCCTGGGTTGGGATATTCCCATGGGAAAGGCACCTGGACTGGGATATTCCCATGGAGAGACTCCTAGTCCTGAATATTCCCATGGAGAGACCCCAGGACTGGGATATTCCCATGGGAGAGACCTCGGGATTGGGATATTCCCATTGGAGAGACTCCTGGACTGGGATATTCCAATGGGAAAGGCACCTGGACTGAGATATTCCCATGGGAAAGGCACTTGGATTGGGATATTCCAATGGGAGAGGCACTTGGATTGGGATATTCCAAAGGGAAAGGCCCTTGGATTGGGATATTACCACAGGAGAGGCCCCAGGACTGGGATATTCCCATGGAAAGGCCCCTGGACTGGGATATTCCAATGGGAAAGGACTATGGATTGGGATATTCCCATGGGAAAGGCCCTTGGATTGGGATATTCCAATGGGAAAGGACTATGGATTGGGATATTCCAATGGGAAAGGTCTATGGATTGGGATATTCCCACAGGAGAGGCCACTGGACTGGGATATTCCCACAGGAAAGGCCCTTGGATTGGGATATTCCCATTGGAGAGGCCCCAGGACTGGGATATTCCCATGGGAGAGACCCCTGGACTGGGATATTCCCATGGGAGAGACCCCTGGGCTGGGATATTCCAATGGGAAAGGCCCCAGGACTGGGATATTCCAATGGGAAAGGCCTATGGATTGGGATATTCCAATGGGAAAGGCCCCAGGACTGGGATGTTCCCACAGGAGAGGCCGCTGGACTGGGATATTCCAATGGGCAAGGCCCCAGGACTGGGATATTCCAATGGGAAAGGCCTATGGATTGGGATATTCCCACAGGAGAGACCCCAGGACTGGGATATTCCCACAGAAGAGACCCCTGGACTGGGATATTCCCACGGGAAAGACCTCTGGGCTGGGATATTCTCATGGGAAAGGCCCCTGGATTGGGATATTCCAATGGGAAAGGCACTTGGATTGGGATATTCCCAAGGGAGAGACCCCTGGGCTGGGATAGTCCCATGGGAAAGACCTCTGGACTGGGATATTCCAATGGGAAAGGCCCCTGGACTGGGATATTCCCATGGGAAAGGCCCCTGGACTGGGATATTCCCATGGGAGAGACCCCTGGATTGGGTTATTCCGATGGGAGAGACCCCTGGGCTGGGATAGTCCCATGGGAAAGGCCTATGGATTGGGATATTCCCATGGAGAGGCTGCTGGACTGGGATAGTCCCATGGGAAAGATCTCTGGGCTGGGATATTCCAATGGGAGAGATCCCTGGACTGGGATATTCCCATGGGAAAGGCCCCTGGACTGGGATATTCCCAAAGGAGAGGTCCCTGGACTGGGATATTCCCATGGGAGAGACCCCAGGACTGGGATATTCCCAAGGGAGAGACCCCAGGACTGGGATATTCCCAAGGGAGAGGTCCCTGGACTGGGATATTCCCAAGGGAGAGGTCCCTGGGCTGGGATATTCCCACAGGAGAGACCCCAGGACTGGGATATTCCCAAGGGAGAGGCCCCTGGGCTGGGATATTCCCATGGGAGACACCCCTATCCCAGGATACCCCCACAGAAGCCACCCCTACCCTGGGACATCCCCTCTGGGAGCCACCCCTAGACCAGGATATTCCCACGGGAAAGGCTCCTGGACTGGGATATTCCAATGAGCATTCCATGGGAGCAACCGCTAGCCTGGGATACCCCCATGGGAGAGGCCCCTAGCCCATGATATTCCCATGGGAAACACCCCTAGCCCATGATATTCCCATGGGAGACACCCCTAGCCCATGATATTCCAATGGGAGACACCCCCAGCCCATGATATTCCCATGGGAGACACCCCTAGCCCATGATATTCCCATGGGAAACACCCCCAGCCCATGATATTCCCATGGGAGAGGCCCCTAGCCCATGATATTCCCACGGGAGACACCCCTAGCCCAGGATATTCCCACGGGAAACACACCTAGCCCATGATATTCCCATGGGAGAGGCCCCTAGCCCATGATATTCCCATGGGAGACACCCCTGCACTGGGAAATTCCCATGGGAGACACCCCTAGCCCATGATATTCCCATGGGAGAGGACCCTGCACTGGGAAATTCCCATGGGAGACACCCCTAGCCCATGATATTCCCATGGGAGAGGACCCCTGGACTGGGATATTCCCATGGGAGACACCCCTAGACTGGCATCTCCTCCCTTTCCCGGGCTCTCCTGAGGGGTCTGTCCCTCCCCTGGGATCTCTTCCCTGTCCCGGCTCTCCTCGGGGTCTGTCCCACGGGATCTCCTCAGGGGTCTCTCCCACCCCTGGGATCTCCTCCCTGTCCCAGGCTCTCCTCAAGGGTCTCTCCCATGGGATCTCCTCCCTCTCCCAGGCTCTCCTCAGGGGTCTCTCCCATGGGATCTCCTCCTGTCCTGGGCTCTTCTCAGGGCTCTCTCCCACGGGATCTCCTCCTGTCCCGGGCTCTCCTCGGGGGTCTCTCCCACGGGATCTCCTCCCTGTCCCGAGCTCTCCTCAGGGGTCTCTCCCCTGGGATCTCCTCCTGTCCCGAGCTCTCCTCAGGGGTCTCTCCCCTGGGATCTCCTCCTGTCCCGAGCTCTCCTCAGGGGTCTCTCCCACGGGATCTCCTCCTGTCCCGAGCTCTCCTCAGGGGTCTCTCCCACGGGATCTCCTCCTGTCCTGAGCTCTCCTCAGGGGTCTCTCCCCTGGGATCTCCTCCTGTCCCGAGCTCTCCTCAGGGGTCTCTCCCACGGGATCTCCTCCTGTCCCGAGCTCTCCTCAGGGGTCTCTCCCCTGGGATCTCCTCCTGTCCTGAGCTCTCCTCAGGGGTCTTTCCCACAGGATCTCCTCAGGGATCTCTCCCCTGGGATCTCCTCCTGTCCCGATCTCTCCTCAGGGGTCTCTCCCTCTCCCAGGCTCTCCTGAGTGGTCTCCCCCCTTCTCCCCCATTCACCCACCCCCCCTCCCGTCACGCCTCGGAGAGGATCAGCCGGAGGGGCAGATGCGCAGGGGTCTCCTCCCCTCCCCGTCCTCCCCCTCCCCCGCTCCTCCCCTCCTCCCCTCCCCTCCCTCCGCCTCCCCGTCCCTCTCCCGGCGCGGCGCTGGTTTCGTGGCTCTCCCAGGTAGAAGTAGGGGAACACGGTGCCCCCGAAGCGCCCGTGGAAGGTGTAGATGTGGGCGCCGCGCTCCGCGTTGTAGAAGGAGAGCTCGCCCTCGTCGCAGTCGAGCTCCACGCGGATCCTGCGCAGCCCACTCGCGGCCGTGTCCGTCACGGCCGGCGCCTCGGAGCGCGCCGAGTGGGAGGCGCGGCACTCGGCCTTGCCGGGCAGGCGGTACACGAACCAGAAACCCCCGCGGGAGTCGTGGTGGAAGCTCCAGCGGGAGTCCCGGCGGGGCCGCGCCACCCCCACGCGCCAGTGCGAGGCGCCCGCCACGTCCACCTCCCACGCGTGGCGGCCCCCCGAGAAGCCGCGGGAGCCCAGCACGCAGGGCGCCGAGACGAAGCGCTCCGGGTTCTCCACGGACAGCTGGAAGCCGCGGTGCCACACGCGGCACAGGTCCTCGGACACGCGGAGCCAGCTCGCGGCCGTGCCGGGGTCGAACGTGAAGGGAACTGCGGGAGAGAGGGACGGGATCAGCCAGGGAGTGGGATGGGAGGCATGGGAGGGGAGATGGACAGGTCCTCGGAGCCAGCCCACGGCTGAGCCGGGGTCGAACGTGAAGGGAACTGCGGGAGAGAGGGATGGGATCACTCAGGGAATGGGGAATGGACAGGTCCTCGGACACGCGGAGCCAGCTCGCAGCCGTGCCGGGGTCGAACGTGAACGGAACTGCGGGAGAGAGGGACGGGATCAGTCAGGGAATGGGATGGGATGGGAGGGGAGATGGACTGAGCCAGCCCGTGGCTGAGCCGGGGTCGAACGTGAAGGGAACTGCGGGAGAGAGGGACGGGATCAGCCAGGGAATGGGATGGGAGATGGACTGAGCCAGCCCGTGGCCGTGCCGGGGTCGAACGTGAAGGGAACTGCGGGAGAGAGGGACGGGATCAGCCGGGGAATGGGGAATGGACAGGTCCTCGGACACGCGGAGCCAGCCCGCAGCCGTGCCGGGGTCGAACGTGAAGGGAACTGCGGGAGAGAGGGACGGGATCAGCCGGGGAATGGGGAATGGACAGGTCCTCGGACACGCGGAGCCAGCTCGCCGCCGTGCCGGGGTCGAACGTGAAGGGAACTGCGGGAGAGAGGGACGGGATCAGCTAGGAATGGATGAGGATGGGAGGGAGATGGACTGAGCCAGCCCGCGGCTGAGCCGAGGTCGAACTGAAGGAACTGCAGGAGAGGGATGGGATCACCAGGAATGGGAGGGGATGGGAGGGAGAGGTCCTCGGACACGCAGAGCCAGCCCGCAGCCGTGCCGGGGTCAAATGTGAAGGGAACTGCGGGAGAGAGGATGGAATCAGCCAGGGAATGGGGAATAGACAGGTCCTCGGACACGCGAGCCAGCCCGCAGCCGTGCGGGGTCGAACGTGAAGGGAACTGCGGAGAGAGGACGGGATCAGCTAGGGAATGGGATGGATGGAGATGGACTGAGCCAGCCTCGGCCGAGCTGGGTCAAATGTGAGACGGAACTGCGGGAGAGGGATGGAATCACCCAGGGAATGGGAGGGGAGGGGAGGGGAGATGGACAGGTCTTCGGACACGCGGAGCCAGCCCGCGGCTGAGCCGGGGTCGAACGTGAAGGGAACTGCGGGAGAGAGGGATGGAATTACTCAGGGAATGGGATGGGTGGGAGATGGACTGAGCCAGTCCTGACGGCCACCGAGGTCAAACGTGAACGGAACTGCAGGAAGAGGGACGGGATCAGTCAGGGAATGGGATGGGAGGATGGGAGGAGTGGGACAGGTCCTCAGTGACACGAGGAGCCAGCTCGCCGCGGCCGTGCCGGGTCAAACTGTGAACGGAACTGCGGGAGAGAGGGACGGGATCAGCCGGGGAATGGGAGGGGAGGGATGGAGATGGGCAGATCGGACCGCGAGCCAGCCCAGCGGCCGAGCAGGGGTCAAACGTGAAGGGAACTGCGGGAGAGGGACGGGATCAGCCACGGAGTGGGATGGAAGGGAGATGGATGAGCTCGGACACGCGAGCCAGCTCACAGCCGTGCCGGAGTCGAACGTGAAGGGAACTGCAGGAGAGAGGACGGGATCACCCAGGGAATGGGATGGGATGGGAGATGGACTGAGCCAGCCCGCAGCCGAGCCGGGTCGAACGTGAAGGGAACTGCGGGAGAGAGGGATGGAATCACTCAGGGAATGGGAGGGGAGGGATGGGAGGGGAGACGGACAGGTCCTCGGACACGCGGAGCCAGCTCGCAGCCGTGCCGGGGTCAAATGTGAAGGGAACTGCGGGAGAGAGGGACGGGATCAGCCGGGGAATGGGGAATGGACAGGTCCTCGGACACGCGGAGCCAGCTCGCAGCCGTGCCGGGGTCGAACGTGAAGGGAACTGCGGGAGAGAGGGACGGGATCAGCCAGGGAATGGGATGGGATGGGAGATGGACTGAGCCAGCCCGCGGCCGTGCCAGGGTCAAATGTGAACGGAACTGCGGGAGAGAGGGATGGAATCACCCAGGGAATGGGAGGAGGAGGAGATGGACAGGTCTTCGGACACGCGGAGCCAGCCCGCGGCTGAGCCGGGGTCGAACGTGAAGGGAACTGCGGGAGAGAGGGATGGAATTACTCAGGGAATGGGATGGGATGGGAGATGGACTGAGCCAGTCCGCGGCCGAGCCGGGGTCAAATGTGAACGGAACTGCGGGAAAGAGGGACGGGATCAGACAGGGAATGGGATAGGATGGGAGATGGACAGGTCCTCGGACACGCGGAGCCAGCTCGCAGCCGTGCCGGGGTCAAACGTGAACGGAACTGCGGGAGAGAGGGACGGGATCAGCCGGGGAATGGGAGGGGAGGGATGGGAGGGGAGATGGACTGAGCCAGCCCGCGGCCGTGCTGGGGTCAAACGTGAAGGGAACTGCGGGAGAGAGGGACGGGATCAGCCAGGGAATGGGAGAGGAGATGGACTGAGCCAGCCCGCAGCCGTGCCGGGGTCGAACGTGAAGGGAACTGCGGGAGAGAGGGACGGGATCAGCCAGGGAATGGGAGGGGAGGGATGGGAGGGGAGGGGAGATGGACTGTGCCAGCCCGCGGCTGAGCCGGGGTCGAACGTGAAGGGAACTGCGGGAGAGAGGGACGGGATCAGCCGGGGAATGGGATGGGATGGGAGATGGACTGAGCCCGCCGCCGTGCCAGGGTCAAATGTGAAGGGAACTGCGGGAGAGAGGGATGGAATTACTCAGGGAATGGGAGGGGAGGGGAGATGGACAGGTCCTCGGACACGCGGAGCCAGCCCGCAGCCGAGCCGGGGTCGAACGTGAAGGGAACTGTGGGAGAGAGGGACGGGATCACCCGGGGAATGGGATGGGAGGGGAGATGGACAGGTCCTCGGACACGCGGAGCCAGCTCGCAGCCGTGCCGGGGTCGAACGTGAAGGGAACTGCGGGAGAGAGGGATGGAATTACTCAGGGAATGGGAGGGGATGGGAGGGGACTGAGCCAGCCCGCAGCTGAGCCGGGGTCGAACGTGAAGGGAACTGCGGGAGAGAGGGACGGGATCAGCCGGGGAATGGGAGGGAGGAATGGGAGGAGGAGGGGAGGGAGATGGACTGAGCCAGCCCGCGGCTGAACCGGGGTCGAACGTGAAGGGAACTGGGGGAGAGAGGGACGGGATCACTCAGGGAGTGGGATGGGAGGGGAGGGGAGATGGACTGAGCCAGCCCGCCGCCGTACCGGGGTCGAACGTGAAGGGAACTGGGGGAGAGAGGGACGGGATCAGCCGGGGAATGGGATGGGAGGGGAGATGGACTGAGCCAGCCTGCGGTTGAGCCGGGGTTGAACGTGAAGGGAACTGCGGGAGAGAGGGACGGGATCAGCCAGGGAATGGGATGGGATGGGAGATGGACTGAGCCCGCCGCCGTGCCAGGGTCAAATGTGAACGGAACTGCGGGAGAGAGGGATGGAATCACCCAGGGAATGGGGAATGGACAGGTCCTCGGACACGCGGAGCCAGCCCGCGGCTGAGCCGGGGTCGAACGTGAAGGGAACTGGGGGAGAGAGGGATGGAATTACTCAGGGAATGGGATGGGAGATGGACTGAGCCAGCCCGCAGCTGAGCCGGGGTCAAATGTGAACGGAACTGCGGGAGAGAGGGACGGGATCACCCAGGGAATGAGATGGGATGGGATGGACAGGTCCTCGGACACGCGGAGCCAGCTCGCAGCCGTGCCGGGGTCAAACGTGAAGGGAACTGCGGGAGAGAGGGACGGGATCAGCCGGGGAATGGGATGGGAGATGGACTGAGCCAGCCCGCGGCAGAGCCGGGGTCGAACGTGAAGGGAACTGTGGGATGGACAGGCGGGAACCACCCACGGGAAGGGATGGGAGGGGATAGGATGGGATGGGATGCGATGGGATGGGATGGGATGGGATGGGATGGGATGGGATGGGATGGGATGGGATGGATGGGATGGGATGGGATGGGATGGGATGGGATGGGATGGGATGGGATGGGATGGGATGGGATGATGGATGGGATGGGATGGATGGGATGGGATGGGATGGGATGGGATGGGATGGGATGGGATGGAGGGGGATGGATGGGATGGAGGGGATGGGATGGATGGGGTGGGATGGGATGGGATGGGATGGGATGGGATGGAGGGATGGGATGGGATGGGTGGGATGGGATGGGATGGGATGGGATGGGATGGAGGGGATGGGATGGGATGGGAGAGCTGGAGGAATTGCTGGGATGGGATGGGGAGAGGGAATGGGATGTGAGGGGATGGGGGAATTAGTTGGATGGGACAGGATGGGATGGGGATGGGGATGGGATGGGGAGAGCTGGGAGAAGAAAGGGGGGGAATGGTTGGGAGGAGGGAGAGGAGGGGGAATAGTTGGGATGCGGGTGGGATGAGGAGAGCTGGAGTGGGGAAGAGCAGAGGGAATGGTTGGGATGGGGGAAAGGAGGGGGAATAAGATGGGATGTAGGACAGGGGAGGGAATAACTGGGATGTGGGTTGGGAGGGGGAATAGTTGGGATATGGGAGAGGAGGGCGAATAGCTGGGATGTGGGAGAGGCTTGGGAATAACTGGAATGTGGGAGAGGCTCAGGGAAGAGCCGGGATTTTGTGGAAAAAGGCCCAGGAAAAACTGGGATTGCAGGAAAGGTTTTGGAAGAGCCAGGATTTTTCGGGAAAGGCTCATGAAGAGACGGGATGTGGGAGAGGCTTGGGAATAATTGGGATGTGGGAAAGGCTTGGGAAGAGCCAGGATTATGGGAAAGCCTGGGAAGAGCTGGGATTTTGAGGGAAAGGCTTGGGAATAACTGGGATGTGGGAGAGGCTCAGAAAGAGCAGAGATTGCAGGAAAGGCCCAGGAAGAGCTGGGAATGTGGGAAAGGCCCGGGAAAAGCTGGGATTGTGGGAAAGGCCCAGGAAGAGCTGGGACTGCAGGAAAGGCTTGGGAAGAACCAGGATTTTGTGGGAAAGGCTCAGGAAGAGCTGGGATTGCAGGAAAGGTTTGGGAAGACTCAGTATTTTTTGGGAAATGTTTGGGAAGAGCCGGGATGTGGGAGAGGCTCGGAAAGAGCCAGGATTTTGTGGGAAAGGCTCCAGAAGAGCTGGGATTGCAGGAAAGGCCCAGGAAGAGCTGGGATTGTGGGAAAGGCTCGGGAAGAGTTGGGAATGTGGGAAAGGTCCAGGAAGAGCTGGCATTGTGGGAAAGGCTTGAGAACAGCAGGATTTTGTGGGAAGGCCTGCGAAGAGCTGGGATTGCAGGAAAGGTTTGGGAAGAGCTGGGATTTTGAGGGAAAGGCTCTGGAAGAGGCAGGGTTTTTCGGGAAGGGCTTAGGAAGAGCAGGATTTTGTGGGAAAGGCCCAGGAAGAGCTGGGATTGCAGGAAAGGTTTGGGAAGAGTCAGGATTTTTTGGGAAAGGCCTGGGAAGAGCTGTGATTGCAGGAAAGGTTTGGAAAGAGCCAGGATTTTTTGGGAAAGGCTTGGGAAGAGCTGGGATGTGGGAGAGGCTCGGAAAGAGCCAGGATTTTGTGGGATAGGCCTGTGAAGAGCTGGGATTGCAGGAAAGGATCGTGAAGAGCCGGGATTTTGCGGGAAGACTCAGGAAGAGCCAGGATTGCAGGAAAGGTTTGGGAAGAGCCGGGATTTTGTGGGAAAGACTTGGAAAGAGTTGGGATTTTTTGGGAAGAGCCATATCCCAGGCACTCACCGGCACTGATGCTGCCCAGCATCTTCTTGCAGACGTTGAACTGCAGCGAGCCCAGGTACCTGGGCACGTCCAGCAGCAACCCCCAGGGAATATCCTCCGGCTCCTCCGCCGTGCACGCGATCCTGGGCATCCCAAAAAACCCCCACGAGAGCTCAGCCATCCCAAAAACCCCCAGGGAATATCCTCCGGCTCCTCCGCCGTGCACGCGATCCTGGGCACCCCAAAAAACCCCACGGGAGCTCAACCATCCCAAAAAACCCCCAGGGAATATCCTCCGGCTCCTCCGCCGTGCACGCGATCCTGGGCACCCCAAAAACCCCCACGGGAGCTCAGCCAGGGCTCAGCCATCCCAAAAACCGCCAGGGGGGATCAACCATCCCAAAAACCCCCAGGGAATATCCTCCGGCTCCTCTGCCATGCACGCGATCCTGGGCATCCCAAAAAACCCCACGGGAGCTCAGCCAGGACTCAGCCATCCCAAAACCCCCAGGGAATCATCCATCCCGGCTCCTCCGCCGTGCACGCGATCCTGGGCATCCCAAAACCCCATGGGAGCTCAGCCATCCCAAAAACCCCCAGGGGAGTTCAGCCATCCCAAAAACCTCCAGGGGAGCTCAGCCATCCCAAAAACCCCCATGGGAGCTCAGCCAGGGCTCAGCCATCCCAAAAACCCCCACGGGAGCTCAGCCAGGGCTCAGCCATCCCAAAAACCCCCAGGGAACATCCTCCGGCTCCTCCGCCGTGCACGCGATCCTGGGCACCCCAAAAACCCCCACGGGAGCTCAGCCATCCCAAAAAACCCCATGGGAGTTCAGCCATCCCAAAACCCCTCCATGGGAGCTCAGCCATCCCAAAAACCCCAGGAAAGGGACACGGGAGCTCAGCCATCCCAAAAACCCCCAGGGAAGGGATCGATCCCCGGAATTCCCGTTGGGAGCAGCACCCACCTCCGCTTGCGGCTCTTGTGGCTCTGGAAGGGAAAAGAAAAGATGTTGGGAATCAGATCCCGCCGATCCCAAGGGATTCCAGAGCCTGGGATGGTATCCCGGGAAAGGTTTTCCCATGGGAAATGTGTGGGGTTTCAGGATGTGATCCCAGGAAAGGCTTTCCCATGAGGAAGGTGTGGGATGAGATCCCAGGAAAGGCTTTCCCATGAGGAAAGTGTGGGATCAGTGGGATGGGATCCCAGGAAAGTCCTTACCAGGAGGAAGGTGTGGGATCAGTGGGATGGATGGGATCAGTGGGATGGATGGGATCAGTGGGATGGGTGGGATGGATGGGATGGATGGGATGGATGGGATGGATGGGATGGATGGGATCAGTGGGATGGATGGGATGGATGGGATGGATGGGATGGGTGGGATCAGTGGGATGGATGGGATGTGATCAGGGGTTCCACCCGGAGGATGGGTCATCCATCAGCACTGCTGCGGCATCCTGGTCTCATGGGATCAGTGGGGTGGGTGGGATCAGTGGGGTGGGTGGATCAGTGGGATGGGTGGGATCAGTGGGATGGATGGGTGGGATCAGTGGGGTCAGTGGGATGGGATGGGTGGGATCAGTGGGATGGATGGGATGGATGGGATGGATGGGATGGATGGGATGGATGGGATGGATGGGATGGATGGGATGGATGGGATCAGTGGGATGGATGGGATCAGTAGGATGGGTGGGATCATTGGGATGGGTGGGATCAGTGGATGATGGGATGTGATCAGGGATTCCTCACCCTGAGGAAGTGGGTCATCCATCAGCAGCTCCTGCTGCAGCATCCTGGTCTCAGTGGGATCAGTGGGATGGGTGGGACTAGTGGGTGGGTGGACTAGTGGGATGGATGGGATCAGTGGGATGGATGGGGGATCAGTGGGATGAGTGGGATGGATGGGTGGGATCAGTGGGGTCAGTGGGATGGATGGGATCAGTGGGATGGATGGGATCAGTGGGATGGATGGGTGGGATCAGTGGGGTCAGTGGGATGGATGGGATCAGTGGGATGGATGGGATCAGTGGGATGGGTGGGATCAGTGGGATGGATGGGATCAGTGGGATGGATGGGATGTTATCCCAGGGATTCCTCACCCTGAGGAACGTGAGGTCATCCATCAGCAGCTCCTGCTGCAGCATCCTGGTCTCGGTGGGATCAGTGGGATGGGTGGGATCGGTGGGATGGATGGGATCAGTGGGATGGGTGGGTTGGGTGGGACTGGGTGGGACGGGGGATCAGTGGGATCAGTGGGATGGATGGGGGAGGTCAGTGGGGTCAGTGGGATGGATGGGATGTTATCCCAGGGATTCCTCACCCTGAGGAACGTGAGGTCATCCATCAGCAGCTCCTGCTGCAGCATCCTGGTCTCGTCCAGCAGGGCCTGGTTGTCCCGCTCCAGGCGCTCCAGCTTTCCCTGGATCAGCTCCTGCTTCCGCTGCAGCTCCTCCTGCAGCTGAGCCAGCAGCACCTTCTCCTCATCCCACAGGAACTCGTGGAGCTTCCGGAGTTCCCGCTTCACCTGACACTCCACGCGCTCCGACGCCGACTGCAAACACGGGATAGAGGGAACGGAATGGGAATGGGGATGGGAATGGGGATGGGGGAGAGGAGGGGGAATAGCTGGGATGGGGGAGAGGAGGGGGAATGGTTGGGATGTGGATTGGGAATGGGAATGGTTGGGATGGGGGAGAGGAGGGGGAATACCTGGAATGTGGATTGGGAATGGGAATAGCTGGATTGGGGATTGGGAATGGGAATAAGCTGGGATGGGGGAGAGGAGGGGAATGGTTGGGATGGGGAGAGGAGGGGGAATAACTGGAATGTGGATTGGGAATGGTTGGGATGGGGGAGAGGAGGGGAATGGTTGGGACGGGGGAGAGGAATGGGAAGGGTTGGGATGGGGGAGAGGAGGGGGAATGGTTGGGATGTGGATTGGGAATGGGAATGGTTGGGATGGGGGAGAGGAGGGGGAATGGTTGGGATGGGGGAGAGGAGGGAATGGTTGGGATGGGGGAGAAAAGGGAATGATTGGGATGGGGGAGAGGAAGGGGAATGGTTGGGATGGGGGCTGGGAATGGGAGTGGCTGGGATGGGGGAGAGGAGGGGGAATGGTTGGGATGGGGGAGAGGAATGGGAATGGTTGGAATAGGGGAGAGGAGGGAATGGTTGGGATGGGGAGAGGAAGGGGAATGGTTGGGATGGGGAGAGGAGGGGAATGGTTGGGATGGGGGAGAGAATGGGAATGGTTGGCATAGGGGAGAGGAGGGGGAATGGTTGGGATGGGGGAATAGCTGGGATGGGGTCTGGGAATGGTGGGGATGGTGGAGAAGTGGGGGAGTAGCTGGTATGGAGGCTGGGAACAGCTGGGATGGGGGGCTGGGATTGGGAATGGTGGGGATGGGGGAGAGGAGGGCAAATGGTTGGGATGGGGGCTGGGAATGGGAATGTTTGGGATGGGGGAGAGGAAGGGGAATGGCTGGGATGTGGGCTGGGAATGGGAATGGTTGGGATGGGGGAGAGGAGGGGAATGGTTGGGATGGGGCTGGGAATGGTTGGGATGGGGGAGAGGAATGGGAATGGTTGGGATGGGGGAGAGGAGGGAATGGTTGGGATGGGGGCCAGGAATGGGAATGGTTGGGATGGGGGAGAGGAGGGGAATGGTTGGGATGGGGGCTGGGAATGGGAATGGTTGGGATGGGGGAGAGGAAGGGGAATGGTTGGGATGGGGGAGAGGAGGGGGAATGGTTGGGATGGGGGAGAGGAGGGGGAATGGTTGGGATGGGGCTGGGAATGGTTGGGATGGGGGCCAGGAAGGGGAATGGTTGGGATGGGGCTGGGAATGGTTGGGATGGGGGAGAGGAAGGGGAATGGTTGGGATGGGGGCTAGGAATGGGAATGTTTGGGATGGGGGAGAGGAGGGAATGGTTGGGATGGGGGCTGGGAATGGGAATGTTTGGGATGGGGGAGAGGAGGGAATGGTTGGGATGGGGGCCAGGAATGGGAATGGTGGGAATGGGGGAGAGGAGGGGGAAGAATTGGGATGTGGGAAAGGCTTGGGAAGAGTTGGGATGCAGGAGAGGCTTGGGAATAATTGGGATGTGGGAGACAAGGGGGAACAGTTGGGATGTGGGAGAGGAGGGGGAACAGCTGGAATGTGGGTTGGGAAAGGGAACAAGCTGGGATGTGGGAGAGGAGGGGGAATGGTTGGGATGTGGGAGAGGAGGGGGAATGGTTGGGATGTGGGAGAGGAGGGGGAATAGTTGGGATGTGGGAGAGGAGGGGGAATAGTTGGGATGTGGGAGAGGAGGAATGGTTGCGATGTGGGAGAGGCTTGGGAGGAGCTGGGATGGGGGAGAGGGGTGGGCCAGCCAGGAATATCATCCTCCCTCCCACCAGCATCCCATCCTGGATCCTTGTGCTTCATCCCTGCCATCCCACCCTGGATCCATGTCCTTCCTTCCTTCCCTGCCATCCCACCCTGGATCCATGTCCTTCCTCCCTACCATCCCACCCTGGATCCATGTCCTTCCTTCCCCTGCCATCCCATCCTGGATCCATGTCCTTCCTTCCCCTGCCATCCCACCCTGGATCCATGTCCTTCCCCCCACCATCCCACCCTGGATCCATGTCCTTCCTTCCCCTGCCATCCCACCCTGGATCCATGTCCTTCCTTCCTCCCACCATCCCACCCTGGATCCATGTCCTTCCTTCCTTCCCCTGCCATCCCACCCCGGATCCATGTCCTTCCTTCCTTTTGCCATCCCATCCTGGATCCATGTCCTTCCTTCCTTTTGCCATCCCACCCTGGATCCATGTCCTTCCTTCCCCTGCCATCCCATCCTGGATCCATGTCCTTCCTCCCACCATCCCACCCTGGATCCATGTCCTTCCTTCCCCTGCCATCCCACCCCGGATCCATGTCCTTCCTTCCTCCCACCATCCCACCCTGGATCCATGTCCTTCCTCCCACCATCCCACCCTGGATCCATGTCCTTCCTCCCACCATCCCATCCTGGATCCATGTCCTTCCTCCCACCATCCCACCCTGGATCCATGTCCTTCCTTCCCCTGCCATCCCACCCTGGATCCATGTCCTTCCTTCCCCTGCCATCCCACCCTGGATCCATGTCCTTCCTCCCACCATCCCATCCTGGATCCATGTCCTTCCTCCCACCATCCCACCCTGGATCCATGTGCTTCCCCCCACCATCCCACCCCGGATCCATGTCCTTCCTCCTACCATCCCACCCTGGATCCATGTCCTTCCTTCCCCTGCCATCCCAGCCTGGATCCATGTCCTTCCTTCCTGCCATCCCATCCTGGATCCATGTCCTTCCTTCCTGCCATCCCATCCTGGATCCATGTCCTTCCTTCCTCCCACCATCCCACCCTGGATCCATGTCCTTCCTTCCCCTGGCATCCCATCCCAAATCCATGTCCTCCCTCCCTCCAGGATGGGATCCCTTTCCTGGCTCCAGGATGGGACCAAGGCTGCACCCAGAGCCTTCCAGCCCCTGCCATCCCATCCTGGATCCATGTCCTTCCTTCCCCATCCATCCCATCCTGGATCCATGTCCTTCCTTCCCCTGCCATCCCACCCTGGATCCATGTCCTTCCTTCCTTCCCCTGCCATCCCATCCCAAATCCATGTCCTTCCTTCCCCATCCATCCCACCCTGGATCCATGTCCTTCCTTCCCCTGCCATCCCACCCTGGATCCATGTCCTTCCTTCCTTCCCCTGCCATCCCATCCTGGATCCATGTCCTTCCTTCCTTCCCCTGCCATCCCACCCTGGATCCATGTCCTTCCCCCCACCATCCCACCCTGGATCCATGTCCTTCCTTCCTTCCCCTGCCATCCCACCCTGGATCCATGTCCTTCCTCCCTGCCATCCCACCCTGGATCCATGTCCTTCCTCCCACCATCCCATCCTGGATCCATGTCCTTCCTTCCCCTGCCATCCCACCCTGGATCCATGTCCTTCCTTCCTTCCTTCCCCTGCCATCCCATCCCAGATCCATGTCCTTCCTTCCCCTGCCATCCCATCCCAGATCCATGTCCTTCCTTCCCCTGCCATCCCACCCTGGATCCCTGTGCTTCCCCCCACCATCCCATCCCGGATCCCCTCCCCCCAGCCCGGATGATCCCTGTTCCCGGTGGGAATTGCTCACCCTGTTGTGCTTGGAGATGTGTTTGTAGGAGCGCCGCACGATCCCGAAATCCTTGGCCTTGTCCTTCAGAGCCGCCTCCATGTTCACCAGCTTGGCCTGGGGGGAGGGGGAGGAGGAGGAGGAGGCACCCTCAGCATTCCCACCAGCCCAGGATTCCCAGGATTCCCGAACAAAGTGTGGGAATGGGATCCCCGCTCCGTCCAACCTTTCCGAGAGGAGGGGGAGGAGCTTTGCTCCAGTGGGGATTCCCCCTCCCGGATTTTAGGGATGGCCCAATCCAATCCCAGCCTGCCAGGCCCCACGGTTATCCCAGTTATCCTGGTTATCTTTCCCTCTGGAATGCTGGCTCATCCCCCGGGGCTGAGTCAGGGAGCCAACGGTTCCTTTCCCAGCTGGAAAATGCCTGTCCTGGAAAAATTCCCAGCTCCTCCTCCCCACATCCCTCCTCCCTCCCCCCTCATCCTGGGAATTGGGCAATCCCCAAACCCCAAACCTGAAAATTCCCCCTCTGAAATTCTCACCCCAAAACCCTCCCCTGAAATCCTCCCCCCAAAATCCTCACCCCGAACTCCTCACCCTGAAATTCTTCCCCCCTCAGATCGCCACCCCGAAATCTCCCCCAAATCCTCAGCCCCGAACCCCTCCCCAGCTCCTCACCCTGCAATCCCCGAAATCCTCCCCAAAATCCTCCCCCTGCAATCGGCCGCCGAACTCCTCCCTGAAATCCTCCCCCAAACTCCTCACCCTGCAATCCCTGAAACCCTTCCCCAAATCCTCATCCCCAACCCCCTAATCCTCACCCTGCAATCCCGAAGCCCTCCCCCAAATCTTCACCCCCAACACCCCCCCAATCCTCACCTTGCAATTCCCAAACCCTCTCCCCAACTCCTCACCCTGCAATCCCGAACGCCCCCAATCCTCGCCCCTGCAATTCCCGAAACCCTCCCCCAAATCTTCACTCCCAACCCTCCCCAAATCTCCACCCCCATTCCTTACCCTGCAATTCCTGAAACCCTCCTCCCAATTCTTCACCCCCAACCCCCCCCAATCCTCACCCTGCAATTCCCCAAACCCTCCCCCAAATCTTCACCCCCCAGATCTCCACCCCCACTCCTCACCCTGCAATTCCTGAAACCCTCCCCCAAATCTTCACCCCCAACCCCCCCACTCCTCACCCTGCAACTCCCAAACCCTCCCCCAAATCTTCACCCCCAATCCCTCCCCCAGTCCTCACCCTGCAATCCCCGAAAACCTCCCCCAAATCTTCACCCCCAATCCTCACCCTGCAATCCCCGAAACCCTCCCCCAAATCTTCACCCCCAATCCTTGCCCTGTAATTCCTGAAACCCTCCCCCAAATCTTCACCCCCAACCCCTTCCCCAATCCTCACCCTGCAATTCCCCAAACCCTCCCCCAAATCTTCACCCCCAATCCTCACCCTCCAATTCCTCAAACCCTCCCCTCAAATCTTCACCCCCAACCCCCTCCCCAAATCTTCACCCCGAACCCCTCCCCCACTCCTCACCCTGCAATCCCCGAAACCCTCCCCCCATATCTCCCCCGCCACTCCTCACCCTACAATCGGCCGCCGCCTCCGGCACGGGCCGCCCCCTGTGCCCGCCGTGCTCCCCGCGGGCGCCGTGGCAGGAGCAGCAGGTGAGCTCCTTGTCCTGCAGGCAGAAGAACTTCACCTCCTCGCCGTGCAGCGGGCACAGCGCGGCCGCCCCCGCGGCCCCCTCGGCGCCCGCCGGGTCCCTGAGCAGCATCTCCACCAGGTTGCTGAGCGTGTGGTTGACGCGGGGCTCGTCGCGGCCCGAGGCCTCCTTGCAGACGGGGCAGGAGCGCGGCCGCTGCTGCTCCCACGAGCGCCGCACGCAGCCCCGGCAGAAGTTGTGGCCGCAGCGCAGCGTGACGGCCTCGCGGAACGGGTCGAAGCAGATGGGGCACCGCAGCTCCTCCTTCAGCGCGCTCGGGGCGCCCCCGGGGGGGTCCTCCTCCATGGAGCTAAGGGGGAGGAGGGGGAGGGAAGGATGAGGTTGGTGAGGGAGCCCCCGGGGGAATCCTCCTCCATGGAGCTAAGGGGGAGGCAAAGAGAGAGGGATGAGTTTGGCGTGGGAGTCCCCTCGGGACCGCACGGGGTGCCCCCGGGGGGATCCTCCTCCATGGCGCTAAGGGGGAGGAAGAGGGAGGGATGAGTTTGGTGTGGGAGCCCCCGGAGGGATCCTCCTCCATGGAGCTAAGGGGGAGAGGGAGGAGGGAGTGGGAACCCCCGGGGGGGTCCTCCTCCATGGAGCTAAGGGGGGGGCAAGGAGGGAAGGATGAGGTTGGTGAGGGAGCCCCCGGGGGGATCCTCCTCCATGGAGCTAAGGGGGAGAGGGAGGGATGAGGTTGGTGTGGGAGCCCCCGGAGGGATCCTCCTCCATGGCGCTAAGGGGGAGGCAAAGAGAGAGGGATGAGTTTGGCGTGGGAGCCCCCGGGGGGGTCCTCCTCCATGGAGCTAAGGGGGAGAGGGAGGAGGGTTGGTGGGAGCCCCGGGGATCCTCCATGGCGCTAAGGGGGAGAGGGAGGAGGGAGGGATGAGGTTGGCGTGGGAGCCCCCGGGGGGATCCTCCTCCATGGAGCTAAGGGGGAGGAGGAGGAGGGAAGGATGAGGTTGGTGAGGGAGCCCCCGGGGGAATCCTCCTCCATGGAGCTAAGGGGGAGAGGGAGGAGGGAGTGGGAACCCCCGCGGGACCGCTCGGGGTGGCCCCGGGGGGATCCTCCTCCATGGCACTAAGAGGGAGAGGGAGGAGGGAGGGATGAGGTTGGCGTGGGAGCCCCCGCGAGACCGCTCGGGGAGCCCCCCCCGGGGGGATGTTCCTCCGTGGCGCTGCGAGGGAGGAGGAGGAGGGAGGGAGGGAGGAAAGAGGGAGGGATGAGTTTGGCGTGGGAGCCCCCGGGGGGATCTTCCTCCGTGGCGCTAAGAGGGAGGGAAGGAGGAAAGAGGGAGGGATGAGTTTGGCGTGGGAGCCCCCGCGGGACGGCACGAACGGGTTTTCTGACGCAACAAGCGCTGCTTCGCTGCCGGGCGGTGACTCAGCCCGGCCGCGGGGACACCGCCCTGGAGCCCGGGGGGAGCTCCCGGAGCAGGGCGGGGAACGCCACGGGAACAACATCCCCCCGCCCCGGGTCTGGACCCCCAAACCCGGGCACAGGACCGGGAACGCCACGGGAACACCCCCGGGTCTGGACCCCCAAACATGGGCACAGGACCGGGAACGCCACGGAACAACCCCCCGGGTCTGGACCCCCAAACCCGGGCACAGGACCTGGGTGCTCACCCCGCGTGTCCGGACCCTCCTGGGCACCCTCGGTGGCCGATCCCGGACCCCCCTGTCCGGGGATCTCCCACACTGACCAGTCCCGGACCCCCAAACCCGGGCACCGGACCCTCCTGGGCACGCCCAGTGTCCGGCCCCGGACCCTCAAACATGGGTCCCCGGACCCTCCTGAGAACCCCCAGTGTCCGGCCCCGAACCCCCCTGTCCGAACTTTGACCCCCTGACCGGGCCCGGACCCTCAAACCCGGGTGCCCGGACACCCCCGAACAGGGTTCTGACCCCCTGACCGGGCCCGGACCCTCAAACCCGGGCACCGGACCCTCCTGGGCACCCCCGGTGCCCGGTCCCGGACCCCCACGGACAGGGTTCTGACCCACTGACCAGGCCCGGACCCCCAAACCCGGGCACCGGACCCTCCTGGGACCCCCCAGTGTCCGGCCCCGGACCCCCAAACATGGGTCCCCGGACCCTCCTGGGCACCCCCGGTGCCCGGTCCCGGACCCCCACGGACAGGGTTCTGACCCACTGACCGAGCCCGGACCCCCAAACCCGGGCACTGGACCCTCCTGGGAACCCCCAGTGTCCGGTCCTGGAACCCCCTGTCCGAGCTTTGACCCCCTGACCGGGCCCGGACCCTCAAACCGGGGTGCCTGACCCCCGAACAGGGTTCTGACCCTCTGACCGTGCCCGGACCTCAAACCCGGGTCCCTGGACACCCTCGAACAGGGTTCTGACCCCTGACCGTGCCTGGACCCTCAAACCCGGGTGCCTGGACCCCCCGAACAGGGTTCTGACTCCTGACCGGGCCTGACCTCAAACCCCGGTCCCTGGACCCCCGAACAGAGTTCTGACTCCACTGACCGTGCCTGACCTCAAACCCTGGTCCCTGGACCCCTGAACAGAGTTCTGACTCCACTGACCGTGCCTGACCTCAAACCCGGGTCCCTGGACCCCCTGACCAGGGTTTTGACCCCCTGACTGGGCCTGAACCCTCAAACCCGGGTCCCTGAACCCCCTGGGCAGCCTTCTGTGCCTGGTCCCGACCCCTGTCCTGTGGCCGCCTGGTGCCCGGACCCTGCTTCCTCCCCTGGGACCGCTCCGCTTCCCGCTCTCCCCAGCCCGCTTCCCTGCCCCCCATTCCCAGTCCCCACCCACACCCAGTGCCCGCTCTCCCATTCCCGGTGCTCCCATTCCCTGTCCCTGCCACTCCCGGTTCCCTGTTCCCGCATCCCGCTCCCCATTTCCAGTCCCCCCACACCCAGTGCCAGCTCCCCATTCCCGGTGCTCCCATTCCCTGTCCCCACCACTCCCGGTTCCCGTTCCCGCATCCCGGTCCCCCATTCCCGGCGCCCGCCCCCTTTCCTGGTCCCCCTCAATTCCCAGTACCCGCTCCCCATTCCCCCTCCCTCTCCCCATTCCTTGTCCCAGCCACTCCCTGTTCCCGCTCCCCGCCATTCCCAGTGCCCGCTCCCCCATTCCCAGTGCCTCCCATTCCCAGTTCCCGCTCTCCCATTCCCAGACCCCCCACTCCCGGTTCCTTCTCCCCCAGTCCCAGTCCCCCCTTCCCAGTTCCCTGCCTCCCATTCCCAGACCCCCACTCCCGGTTCCTTCTCCCCCAATCCCAGTCCCCCCATTCCCAGTTCCCTGCTCCCCCATTCCCTCTCCCCTCCATTCCCAGTTCCCGCTCCCCTATCCCGCTGCCCCCCACTCCCAGCTCCCCCATTCCCAGCTCCCACTCCGCTCCCACGTGGCAGCCACCCTTGCCGCTGTTCCGTTCCCGGTTTGTTCCCGGTGCGTTCCCGGTGTGTTCCCGGTGCGTTCCGGTGTGTTCCCGGGGTCTCACCTGGCGGGCGGGGCTCTGCAGTCCCTGCAGCAGCAGCGGCGGCGCAGGGGGCAGTGCTGGGGGCTGCCCTCGGCCTCCCGCAGCATTCCAGAGCCGGCTGATCCCGCCGATCCCACCGGGAGCGAGGACGGGGCCGGGGATGGGGCGGGACCTGATCCGGGCACGGCCCCCCCGGAGCCGCCACCGCCTTCAGCCCCCCCCGGGCTCGGCTCCCCCTCCGTGAGGGTCCCTTGGGGCTCTCCTGAGCCCTTCCTGCCGGGAATGTCATTCCCAATGATCCCCCGACTCCGGGAGCGGGACCCTCGGGGGTCCCGAGCTGTGCTCCCGCCTGGCATCGTGTCCATCCTTGCTTTTCCCGCCACATCCCTGCTTTTCCTGCCCCGTGGGGGATTTAGGGCTCTCCTGACCGCCTTTTCCCACTGCTCCCGTCCCTCTGGAAGCGCCTCGGGCCTTTCCGTTGGGAATGGGGTTCCCAATCAACAGCAGGAGTGGGAATCTCGGTGGTCCCGGTGGTCCCGAGTTGTGCTCCTGCCTGGCACCGTGCCCATCCCTGCTTTTCCTGCCCCATCCCTGCTTTTCCTGCCCATCCCTGCTTTTCCTGCCCCGTGGTGAGGGGGATTTAGGGCTCTCCTGAGCCCTTCCTGCCGGGAATGTCATTCCCAGTGATCCCCCGACTCCGGGAGCGGGACCTTTGGTGGTCCCGGGGGTCCCGAGCTGTGCCAGGGGCAGTGCCCACCTGGCATCGTGTCTATCCCTGCTTTTCCTGCCCCATCCCTGCTTTTCCTGCCCCATCCCTGCTTTTCCTGCCCATCCCTGCTTTTCCTGCCCCCCCTAACCCCCTTCCTCCTTCCCCCCCCTCCCTGCTCTGATTCCCATTCCAGCCCCGTGGATCCCACAACGCTCCCAGGGGCGCAGCCACCGGGGACCCCTCCCAAAGCTGATCCAACCCCTCCTCCCCCGGGACCAGGAGAATTCCAAACGTTCTCCTGGGACCCCCAAAGCTGCTCCAACCCCTCCCCTCCCCGGGACCAGGAGAATTCCAAACGTTCTCCTGGACCCCAAAGCTACTCCAACCCCTCCCTCCCCCCGGGACCAGGAGAATTCCAAACGTTCTCCTGGACCCCCAAAGTGGGCTCCAACCCTTCCCTCCCCCCACCCCGGGACCAGGAGAATTCCAAGGACAAAGAGCCAGGAAAACAAGGTGTTTTTGTGCCGTGGGATGAGGGAACACCGGATCCGTGTTTTCCACAGGCTGGGAGAGTCCAAGGACAAAGATAAAAGCGGCTGGGAATGCGATGGGATGGGGGGGGAAGGAGGGGGAGGCAGGGATGGGATCCCATCCCCCCCGGGAGAGAGTCCTGGGAAAAGTGGGATGGAGGTGCGAGGGGGGCAGCACCGGGATCTGGGAGGGACAGGGAATTGAGGGGGGGGGGGATTTGGGAAGAGTCAGAGGGAGAAAAGGGGTCAGGGAAGCAAAGGGAAAAGTGGAGAGAGTAAAGTCATGGAATTCCTGAGCTGTTCAGGGTGGAAAAACCCCTTGGAACTGAGTCCAAACATTCCCAGATGTGCCCAGGCCATCCCAAGGGACACATCCCCAGGGACTGGGAATCCCTCCAGGGATTGGGAATCCAGCCCTGCCCTGGGGAGTTCATTCCAGTGCCTGACAGCCCTTTCCAGGCAGGAATTGTTCCCAATATCCCACCTGCCCCTCTCCTGGCCCAGCTGGAGGCCGTTCCCTCTCCCTCCTGGCCCTTCTTCCCTGGGAATTGGGGACCCTCCACCTCCTGAGAATTCCTGCCAGGGAATTGTGGAGAGAGCTGGGACAGTGCCAGGATGGCCCAGAATCCTTAGGGATGGCTCAGGATGGAAAATCCCTCCGGAATTCCGGAGTCCAACCAGCCCAGGCCAGCCCTGCCCCGTGTGCCCAAGGGCCACATCCCCAGGGGTTGGGAATCCCTGCAGGGATTGGGAATCCAGCCCTGCCCTGGGAAGTTCATTCCAGTGCCTGACAGCCCTTTCCAGGTGGGAATTGTTCCAGGTCCTTTCCCAGCTTTTCCAGCCCCTCTGCCCCAGGCCTGGAGCGCTCCAGGGACAGGACTTGGCACTTGGTGCCCCTCAGTCCATGGGCCTTGGCGGGGACATGACGGGAGATTGGGAAGGGATTCCCGGCTGGGCTGGAATTCCCAGGGAAGCTGTGGCTGCCCCTGGATCCCTGCAGTGTCCCAGGCCGGGCTGGATCCCCTGGGATAGCGGGAGGTGTCCCCAAACATGGAATGGGATGATCCATAAGGTCCCTTCCTGCCCCCCCACCCCCAATCCCAAAATCCCGGGACACTCCACTCCACTCCAGGCGCTCCCGCGGTGCCAACACGGGCGTTTATTGGGATCGGGAATGACGACGACGATGGATCCGGAACCCCCCCCGACCTTCCCGGCCCTCGGAGGGCCCTTCCCTGCCCTTTGGCTCCGCCCGGGAATGCCGGGATCGCGGGGATGGAGGTCCCATCCCACGAGATTTGGGACAGGAGCTCTGGAATGCACTGGGATCGGGGGGATCCCGTCCCGGGAAGCTTCAGAGATCCAGGGAATTCTCCATACCCGCATGGGAAACGTCGTCCATCCAGATCCTGCCCCAGCCTGGGGGGCAGGGAATGCAGGGATGCACACACAGAGAATGTAGGGATACACACAGGGATACACAGGGATACACCGGGATACACAGAGGGAATGCAGGGATGCACACAGGGAATGCAGGGATGCACACAGGGAATGCAGGGATACACACAAGGGATGGAGGGATGCACACAGGGAATGCAGGGATGCACAGGGAATGCAGGGATACACACAGGGAATGCAGGGATGCACAGGGGATGCAGGGATGCACACAGGGAATACAGGGATACACACAGGGAATACAGGGATACACACAGGGATACACAGGGAATGCAGGGATGCACAGGGATGAACACAGGGAATGCAGGGATGCACAGGGAATGCAGGGATACACACAGGGAATGCAGGGATGCACAGGGGATGCAGGGATGCACACAGGGAATGCAGGGATACACAGGGAATGTAGGGATGCACACAGGGATACACAGGGAATGCAGGGATGCACAGGGATGAACACAGGGAATGCAGGGATGCACAGGGATACACACAGGGAATGCATGGATACACTCAGGGAACAGGGATACACAGGGATACAAACAGGGAATGCAAGGATACACACAAGGAATGCAGGGATACACACAGGGAATGCAGGGATACACACAGGGAATGTAGGGATACACAGGGAATGTAGGGATGCACACAGGGATACACAGGGAATGCAGGGATGCACAGGGATGAACACAGGGAATGCAGGGATGCACACAAGGAATGCAGGGATACACACAGGGAATGTAAGGATACACAGGGAATGCAGGGATACATACAGGGAATGCAAGGATACACAGGGAATGCAAGGATACACAGGGAATGCAGGGATACATACAGGGAATGCAAGGATACACAGGGAATGCAAGGATACACAGGGAATGCAGGGACACACAGGGATACACAGGGAATGCAGAGATACACAGGGATGCACACAGGGAATGCAGGGATACATACAGGGAATGCAGGGATACACACAGGGAATGCAGGGATACACACAGGGAATGCAGGGATACACAGGGATACACACAGGGAATGCAGGGAATGCAGGAATACACAGGGATGTACACAGGGAATACAGGGATACACAGGGATACACACAGGGAATGCAGGGATACATACAGGGAATGCAGGGATGCACAGAGGGAATGCAGGGATTCACAGGGAATGCAGGGATACACACAGGGAATGGAGGGATACACAGGGATACACACAGGGATATACAGGAGTACACAGGGAATGCAGGGATATACATAGGGAATGCAGGGATACACAGGGAATGCAGGGATACCCACAGGGATACCCACAGGGAATGTAGGGATACACACAGGGAATGCAGGGATACACAGGGATACACAGGGATACACACAGGGAATGGAGGGATGCACACAGGGATGCACACAGGGATACACACAGGGAATGGAGGGATGCACACAGGGATGCACACAGGGATACACACAGGGAATGGAGGGATGCACATAGGGATGCACACAGGGATACACACAGGGAATGGAGGGATGCACACAGGGATGCACACAGGGATACACACAGGGAATGGAGGGATGCACACAGGGATGCACACAGGGAATGCACAGGGATACACACAGGGAATGCACAGGGATACACAGGGGTACACACAGGGATGCACACAGGGAATGCAGGGATACACACAGGGAATGCAGGGATACATACAGGGAATGCACAGGGATACACACAGGGAATGCAGGGATACACACAGGGAATGCAGGGATACACACAGGGAATGCAGGGATACACACAGGGAATGCAGGGATACACATAGGGAACGCAGGGATACACACAGGGATACACAGGGAATGCAGGGATACCTTGGAGCTTTGATTTTTGCAGTTCAACCGTGTGAACACCTTGTGTTTCGTGCATGTGACCAACGACAAGTTGAATAGTCACCTATGTGGCAATTATTAAACTGTATGAAAGACAGCGCGATTAATAAAGACGGAGCTTCTGAAACATCGGATTGGCCCGTGGGAGGTTCCCCTTGAGGCTCGCAGGGGACGACACCCTAACACAGCAAGGGAAGCGGTAAAGGCTCTGCTCCATCCCACAATCCCAAGATTTGGGGTTCCTCTGGGAACGCCATCAGACAGAGGGGCACGTTTCACCGCAGGGGTGGTAGGTGAAGGATTTGTGTCGCGCCCCGGGAATCGTTTGGGACCTCCCACGCTCCCCGCAGACCTCAGGCAAGCGGCGAAGCGGAACGCGCGAACGGCACTCTGAAAACGCAGATTGGTGGAATTTGTCAGGGAACACCCATGCCAAGGGGTTCAGGCTTTGCCTCTGGCTCTGCTGAGCATTCCCGTCCGGCCAAGGCCGAGGGATAACAGAAGTCCTCATGGAATGTTGTACGGGAGACCACGCCAGGCTCTGCGCGTTCCGGGGGACGTTCACACGAGAGGGAAGGTTGATTTACGGAAGCATTTAATTGCTTTGGGCTCTACTTTACAGAAGCTCTGGAAGTTCCTCGAGCTTTCCACACTCAGAGGATTGGACACCCCTGCTCATCAATTCCAGCCAGGAGACCGGGTCTGCATCAAATGGTGGGACAGTGACCCGCTGTGAGCTGAGAGGAGAGGACCTTTCCAAATCCTACTGACTTCCCTCACTGCCCTCAAAGTTGCTGGCAAAGGACCGTGGTTCCATTGCTCCAGAGCGAAGAAAGCTTCAGTTCCTGGAACCATCAGCAAAGCAGAACCCGGCTCAGAGGAAGAGGATGTGGCACAGACTGCTTCTGCCGTGCGTGTGATGTGTGCAGTCGGTAAGTGGGAATTAAGTTCAGAGCCTGATTTACATTTGGCTCCTCCTATTCTCCGTGGAAGCGAGTGCTGGATTTGCCCTAGGGAATTTGGCTGCAGTTTGGAACCAAACCAAAATTCTGCACTGGGCATCTCCGGACAACGCCTCGCTGGATTTGGGAGGCACTCCCCACAAACTTACTCCGTGGCTTCCCGGATAAAACAACTGTTTCTACTGCTAATGTACATAGTTAGTGTTTGTGTGATAGCTCACTGCATGAGCCAGTGCTGTAGATGTTGCTCATCTCTTTTGAGAAAGGATCAGATGCAAGTAGCAGAGACCGGACAAAACTTTTGGCTTTTGTCCGGTCTCTAAAGGGGGGACTGATTTTTTTAATTTTTGTAGATCTTAGAAGTAGTTCTGTAGTAAATGCAGATTTTAGAGTAGCAGCACATTACCCCTTTACCCTTTAACACACATAGCAAACCCTGTCACCCATTCCCACATCAATCCCCCCAAATTCCGTTTTCCCATATCATTCCCCTGAATTCCATTAATTTATTCAGTCTCTTTTTCGAGGTAGGACTGTAGAGAACACCCTAACCTTGCACAAGAAGGTACAGCCACAGACCCAACAACCTTCAGGCCCAGGAGTCTGGAAGGCCTCCAAGGACATTACGTGCTCTGAGGAAGATGAAGATGAAGAAGAGGGGGTCCCAAAAGGCCCCCCAGACCCAATTCCCAAGAGCTGTGGTGGGGGCAGAACCTGGGGGGTGGCCGGATGGGGATTGGGGGAAAATCATTATAAAAACTGGGAACACCTGGATTTGGGAGCACGTTGGGGTATTCCAGAAAGCCTGGGGGCTCATTAAAGCCTTGGGATCCTTAGCTTATCTCCTACCTCATTTGGCTTGGAGTCTTTTTTTCCCCACGGCCATTTAGGCAACACAGGGATACACAGGGATACACACAGGGAATTGAAGGATACACAGGGAATGCAGGGATACACAGGGATACACACAGGGAATTGAAGGATACACAGGGAATGCAGGGATACACAGGGATACACACAGGGAATGCAGGGATGCACATAGGGATACAAACAGGGAATGCAGGGATACACAGGGATACACAGGCAATGCAGGGATACACACAGGGAATGCAGGGATGCACAGGGGCACTGTGAGGACTGGGCTGCAATTCCCAGGGAAGCTGTGGCTGCCCCTGGATCCCTGGAGTGTCCCAGGCCGGGTTGGATCCCCTGGGACAGCGGGAGGTGCCGGGGTTGGAACGGGATGAGCTGTGAGGTCCCTTCCCGCCCGACCCATTCCATGACTCCAGGACTCCTTGGAGATGGTCCCGGCACTTGGGACGGTCCCACATGGAGGTGTCACCTCCATCCCACATCCCTGGAGAGAGATATCCCTCCATCCCACATCCCTGGACAGAGATATCCCTCCATCCCACATCCCTATACAGAGATATCCCTCCATCCCACACCCCTTTGGACAGAGATATCCCTCCATCCCACATCCCTGGACAGAGCTATCCCTCCATCCCACATCCTTGGACAGAGATATCCCTCCATCCCACATCCCTTTGGACAGAGATATCCCTCCATCCCACATCCCTTTGGACAGAGATATCCCTCCATCCCACATCCCTGGACAGAGATATCCCTCCATCCCACATCCCTGGAGAGAGATATCCCTCCCTCCCACATCCCTGGAGAGAGATATCCCTCCATCCCACATCCCTGGACAGAGATATCCCTCCATCCCACATCCCTGGACAGAGATATCCCTCCATCCCACATCCCTGGAGAGGGATATCCCTCCATCCCACATCCCTTTGGACAGAGATATCCCTCCATCCCACATCCCAGGACAGAGATATCCCTCCATCCCACATCCCTTTGGACAGAGATATCCCTCCATCCCACATCCCTTTGGACAGAGATATCCCTCCATCCCACATCCCTGGACAGAGATATCCCTCCATCCCACATCCTTATACAGAGATATCCCTCCATCCCACATCCCTGGACAGAGATATCCCTCCATCCCACATCCCTGGACAGAGATATCCCTCCATCCCACATCCTTTGGACAGAGATATCCCTCCATCCCACATCCCTGGACAGAGATATCCCTCCATCCCACATCCCTGACAGAGATATCCTCCATCCCACATCCCTTGGACAGAGATATCCCTCCATCCCACATCCCAGGACAGAGATATCCCTCCATCCCACATCCTGGAGAGATATCCCTCCATCCCACATCCTGGACAGAGATATCCTCCATCCCACATCCCTTGGACAGAGATATCCCTCCATCCCACATCCCTTTGGACAGAGATATCCCTCCATCCCACATCCCTGGAGAGAGATATCCCTCCATCCCACATCCCTGGACAGAGATATCCCTCCATCCCACATCCCTTGGACAGAGATATCCCTCCATCCCACACCACTGGACAGAGATATCCCTCCATCCCACATCCCTATACAGAGATATCCCTCCATCCCACATCCCAGGACAGAGATATCCCTCCATCCCACATCCCTATACAGAGATATCCCTCCATCCCACATCCCTTTGGACAGAGATATCCCTCCATCCCACATCCTGGGACAGAGATATCCCTCCATCCCACACCCCTTTGGACAGAGATATCCCTCCATCCCACATCCCTTGGACAGAGATATCCTCCATCCCACATCCCTGGACAGAGATATCCCTCCATCCCACATCCCTGGACAGAGATATCCCTCCATCCCACATCCCTGGACAGAGATATCCCTCCATCCCACATCCCTGGAGAGAGATATCCCTCCATCCCACATCCCTTTGGACAGAGATATCCCTCCATCCCACATCCCTGGACAGAGATATCCTCCATCCCACATCCCTCTGGACAGAGATATCCCTCCATCCCACATCCCTATACAGAGATATCCCTCCATCCCACATCCCTGGACAGAGATATCCCTCCATCCCACATCCCTGGAGAGAGATATCCCTCCATCTCACATCCCTGGAGAGAGAGAGATATCCCTCCATCCCACATCCCTGGAGAGAGATATCCCTCCATCCCACATCCCTGACAGAGATATCCCTCCATCCCACATCCCTGGAGAGATATCCCTCCATCCCACATCCCTGGACAGAGATATCCCTCCATCCCACATCCCTATGACAGAGATATCCCTCCATCCCACATCCCTGGACAGAGATATCCCTCCATCCCACATCCCTTGGACAGAGATATCCTCCATCCCACATCCCTGGACAGAGATATCCCTCCATCCCACATCCCTTGGACAGAGATATCCCTCCATCCCACATCCCTTGGACAGAGATATCCTCCATCCCACATCCCTTTGGACAGAGATATCCCTCCATCCCACATCCCTGGACAGAGATATCCCTCCATCCCACATCCCTGGACAGAGATATCCCTCCATCCCACATCCCTGGACAGAGATATCCCTCCATCCCACATCCCTTGGACAGAGATATCCCTCCATCCCACATCCCTGGACAGAGATATCCCTCCATCCCACATCCCTGGACAGAGATATCCCTCCATCCCACATCCCTGACAGAGATATCCCGCCATCCCACATCCCTTTGGACAGAGATATCCCTCCATCCCACATCCCTGGACAGAGATATCCCTCCATCCCACATCCCTTGGACAGAGATATCCCTCCATCCCACATCCCTGGACAGAGATATCCCTCCATCCCACATCCCTGGACAGAGATATCCCTCCATCCCACATCCCTGGACAGAGATATCCCTCCATCCCACATCCCTTGGACAGAGATATCCCTCCATCCCACATCCCTTTGGACAGAGATATCCCTCCATCCCACATCCCTTGGACAGAGATATCCTCCATCCCACATCCCTTTGGACAGAGATATCCCTCCATCCCACATCCCTGGACAGAGATATCCCTCCATCCCACATCCCTGGACAGAGATATCCCTCCATCCCACATCCCTGGACAGAGATATCCCTCCATCCCACATCCCTGGACAGAGATATCCCTCCATCCCACATCCCTGGACAGAGATATCCCTCCATCCCACATCCCTTGGACAGAGATATCCCTCCATCCCACATCCCTGGACAGAGATATCCCTCCATCCCACATCCCTGGACAGAGATATCCCTCCATCCCACATCCCTGGACAGAGATATCCCTCCATCCCACATCCCTAGACAGAGATATCCCTCCATCCCACATCCCTGGACAGAGATATCCCTCCATCCCACATCCCTGGACAGAGATATCCCTCCATCCCACACCCCTTTGGACAGAGATATCCCTCCATCCCACATCCCTGGACAGAGATATCCCTCCATCCCACATCCCTGGACAGAGATATCCCTCCATCCCACATCCCTGGACAGAGATATCCCTCCATCCCACATCCCTTTGGACAGAGATATCCCTCCATCCCACATCCCTTGGACAGAGATATCCCTCCATCCCACATCCCTTGGACAGAGATATCCCTCCATCCCACATCCCTTGGACAGAGATATCCCTCCATCCCACATCCCTTGGACAGAGATATCCCTCCATCCCACATCCCTTGGACAGAGATATCCCTCCATCCCACATCCCTTGGACAGAGATATCCCTCCATCCCACATCCCTGGACAGAGATATCCCTCCATCCCACATCCCTGGACAGAGATATCCCTCCATCCCACATCCCTTTGGACAGAGATATCCCTCCATCCCACATCCCTGGACAGAGATATCCCTCCATCCCACATCCCTGGACAGAGATATCCCTCCATCCCACATCCCTTTGGACAGAGATATCCCTCCATCCCACATCCCTTGGACAGAGATATCCCTCCATCCCACACCCCTGGACAGAGATATCCCTCCATCCCACATCCCTTTGGACAGAGATATCCCTCCATCCCACATCCCTTTGGACAGAGATATCCCTCCATCCCACATCCCAGCACAGAGATATCCCTCCATCCCACATCCCTTTGGACAGAGATATCCCTCCATCCCACATCCCTATACAGAGATATCCCTCCATCCCACACTCCGGGAGAACCCACTCCCCCCTTCCCCGGCATTCCCACCCTTCCCACTTCCCCAATCCCCCCCTTTTCCAGGAATGCTCTGCCGCGTGCCGAGACGGCCTTTCCCTGGAAGCGCCGGTGTTTCCCGGGAACGGGCAGCTGGAGCCGCTGTCCGAGAGCATCCGCAGGTACGTCATGAGCCACTTCCGATGGGATAAGTTCGGCCGCAGGAACAGCTCCAGCGGCTCCAGCGGCTCCGGGAGCAGCGCCGGGAGCCACAAACGCCGCGAGGGCTCCGGGAACATCCCGGCGCTCCCGGGGCCGCATTCCCAGCGCCGGGAAGAGAAGGAGGACGGGAAGCGCTCCTATTCCATGGAGCACTTCCGATGGGGGAAGCCCGTGGGGCGCAAGAGGAGACCCGTCAAGGTGTATCCCAACGCCCTGGAGGAGGAGCAGGAGCAGGAGGAGGAGGAGGAGGAGGCGGCGGCGGCGGCGCGGGAATTCCCGCTGGAATTCCGGCGGGAGCTGGGGGGAAGGCGGGAAGGGGGCAAATCCCGCTGGGAATCGCCGCTGGACAAGCGCTACGGGGGGTTCATGGGCTCGGAGAGCAGCCGGACCCCGCTGCTGACGCTCTTCAGGAACACCATCGGCAAAAGCGCCTCCCAGAAGGGGCCGTGAGCGGGAAAAATCCACCCGGGAATTCCCGCCCGCACGCCTTTTCCAACCCCCTTCCCCTCCCCTCCTGGAGCTTCAGCGCCTTCCTCCTGAGCCAGGCCCGCGGAAAATCCCAAAGGAATTCCTCCTCGCTCCTCGCATCCCTCGGAACCGGCGCTCCCGGGATTTGGGATTTGGGGGGGGGATGGGATGAGCTCCCGGCTGGGAGGGCAGATCCCGGTGGGATGGGGGTTTGGGATCCTCGGCCCGAGGTGTAAAATCCTGTAAATGAGGGGGGAAACCTTGGGAAATAAATCCAAACCCTAAGGAAGAGGATTGGGGGTGTTTGGAATGCTGAGGGGTCGGGAGCGGCTCCGGGGGGAAGAAGGAATACCAGAGTCAGTCCTGGGGTTGGGAAGAGCCGGGAAAGGGTCCGGGAGGATATTTGGGGGTGGGGGAGGGAGGATTTGGCATCCCCAGTTTGGGAGTTCTGTGGGATCCAATCGGGGGGTGGGGGCTGGAAGTTGGGAAGAGTTTTCCAAGGACAGAGAGGTATCCATGGAGACAACCAGGGCAGGGAGGGACAGGACACAGGGAATGGCTTCCCACTGGGAAAGGGGAGACTGGGGAGGGATTCCCGGCTGGGCTGGAATTCCCAGGGAAGCTGTGGCTGCCCCTGGATCCCTGCAGTGTCCCAGGCCGGGTTGGATCCCCTGGCACAGCGGGAATTGTCCCTGCCCATGGAACGGGATGAGCTTTGAGCTCCCTTCCCCCCCCACCCCATCCCACGATCTCACGATCCCCAAATCCCGAGGACTCGCGCCACGAGCGGGGCAATCCCTTCCCCTCCCCCAAACTCCAGGATTCCCTTGGATTTGGGGGGTCCCCGTGGCTCTGCCCCCCCTTCCCGGGGCTGCTCCTCCAGGGCCACACCCGGCACTTCGGGCAGGGCTTTTATTAATCCCGGGTGGGAATTCCCGGCTCGGACCCCGCTCCCGCGGGCGGATCCCGGCGATTCCTCGGGGCGAGGCGGGCAGAATTCCCGGCTCAGGCGCTGTGCTGGGAGCCGAGATATTCCCGCAGGAGCGTGCCCAGCTCCGAGTTCTGGCGCTGCAGGGCGGTGGCCCCGCCGAGCAGCTCCGCCCTCCGGCTCAGGACGCGGCTGGGAAGGCACCGGGATGGGCTCGGGATGTCCCTCCGGGATGGGGGGACCCCCCCCGGCCCTGTTTATCCCCCCGGGAACTCACTGGTATTCCAGCAGAGCCGCGTCCAGCGCGTCCCAAAGCTTCAGGCGGCGCTCCGGGATGACGCGGCTCAGCGCTTCCCAATATTCCGCGTCCCGGGAATTGTCCCGCGCGTCCAGGGCCTCCCGCGCCGCTGCGGCCGCAGAGTCCCTGCCGAGGGGGGGGGAGAGAGGCTTGGGGAGGAGGATTGGGGGTGGGAACTTCTCGGGATGGAGGGAAAAGCCTTGGGATGGAGAACAAATCCCTGGGATGGGGAATAAACCCTTGGGAACAAAGCCTTGGGATGGAGAACAAATCCCTGGGATGGGGAATAAATCCTTGGGAACAAAGCCTTGGGATGGAGAACAAACCCTTGGGCATGGAGAACAAATCCCTGGGATAGGGAATAAACCCTTGGGATGGAGAACAAATCCCTGGGATGGAGAACAAATCCCTGGGATGGAGAATAAACCCTTGGGAACAAAGCCTTGGGATGGAGAACAAACCCTTGGGAAGGAGAACAAATCCCTGGGAACAAAGCCTTGGGGATGGAGGACAAAGCCTTGGGGACAAAGCCTTGGGGATGGAAAATTCTTGGGATGGAGAAAAAAATCCTTGGGATGGAGAACAAACCCCTGGGAATGGAGAAAGCCCTGAGGAACAAAGCTTGGGATGGAGAACAAAGCTTTGGGAAGGAGGACAAAGCCTTGGGAACAAAGATTTGGGCACGGAGAATTCTTGGGATGGAGAACAAACCCTTGGGATGGAGAACAAACCCTTGGGGATGGAGAACAAACCCTTGGGAAGGAGGGCAAAGCCCTGGGAACAAAGCCTTGGGGATGGAAAATTCTTGGGATGGAGGGAAAAGCCTTGGGCTGGAGAACAAATCCCTGGGAACAAGAACCAACCCCTGGGATGGAGAAGAAACGCTTGGGATGGGGAACAAAGCTTTGGGAAGGAGGACAAAGCCTTGGGAACAAAGTCTGGGGGATGAAGAACTTCTTGGGATGGAGGGAAAATCCTTGGGGTAGAGAAAAAACTCCTGGAGATGGAGAAGAAACCCTTGGGAACAAAGTCTGGGGGATGGAGAACTCCTTGGGATGGAGGAAAAATCCTTGGGGTAGAGAAAAAACTCCTGGAGATGGAGAAGAAACCCTTGGGAACAAACCCTTGGGAAGGAGGGCAAAGCCTTGGGAACAAAGTCTTAGGGAGGACAAAGCCTTGGGAACAAAGCCTTGGGGATGGAGAACTTCTTGGGATGGAGGAAAAATCCTTGGGATGGAGAACAAACCCCTGGGAACAAACCCTTGGGGATGGAGAACAAACGCTTGGGATGGAGAACAAACCCTTGAGATGGAGAACAAACCCTTGGGGATGGAGGAAAAAGCCTTGGGAAGGAGGACAAAGCCTTGGGAACAGAAAACTCTTGGGATGGAGAAGCAAACGCCTTGGGAGGACAAAAGCCTTGGGGATGGAGAAGCAAACTCTTGGGATGGAGGAAAAATCCTTGGGATGGGGAACAAACTCCTGGGGATGGAGAAGAAACCCTTGGGATGGAGAACAAACCCTTGGGAAGGAGGAAAAACCCTTGGGAACAAAAACTTGGGAAGGAGGACAAACCCTTGGGAACAAAAACCTTGGGAAGGAGGACAAAGCCTTGGGGACAAAGCATTGGAGGGTGGAGAACTTCTTGGGATGGGGGAAAAATCCTTGGGATGGAGAACAAACCCTTGGGAACAAGAACCAACCCCTGGGATGGAGAAGAAATGCTTGGGATGGAGAACCAACCCCTGGGATGGAGAACAAACCCTTGGGATGCA